TGAGGAAGGCGACCAGATGCACCAGGGCGGCGCGCCGACCCTCCCAGGGGCAGCTCTCGATCCGCTGGGATCGTGGGGCCGCAGACGCTGCTCAGGAAGGCCTGGCAGTCCCCCTCTGCCCAGGCTCGGGGGTCCAGGGGCACGTCGGGCTCTCCAGCTGAGAGCCCTCGCTGTTGCTGCTGCTTCTCCGCCCAGTGGCGCCAGGCCGTCTCTATGTCGTCGTGCAGCTTGCGGGCGCGCTGCACCATTAGGTGCGCGATGGTGCAGTTTCTCTTTCCATCTCGCGATACAGGTTCAACGGGGTCGTCGGCAGGGGGGTCGCAACATTACGGTCTACGGGGGGGGGGGACAGGGCGGTGACGGCGCTGGGGGCAGGTCCGAAAGGATGGCCCCGGTGTCGGTCGGGTAGGGTAAGGGGGGGAACCACGACTTCAGTCAGGTGGGGCAGGGAGTGTGCTGGCCAGGTGGCACTTGGTTGTAGCAGTCCGCACTGAGCGAACGCAGCCCTCCCCAGACTGCGTAGGAATCCCAGCAGGACCTCTGGCTGCAGTAGGCGGAGCGTCTTTGAACCACCCGTGTGGAGAGCCGGCGAGTAGCCGTTCCAATGGGCCGAGTGCGCGTCCGCCGCCCAGGAGACCGGTGAGGCGAGCATGAATTGGCGGCAGGCGGTCCGCCAGGACCAGTCAGCCAAGCTTGTGGGCCCCTGGTCCCCCACCTGACCGAACACACACACACACACGCATACACTTTTGCGTCGGCGGCTAGGCAGAGTCACTGCGCTGGCACACACTCTCTCTCTCTCTCTCTCTCTCTCTCTCTCTCACACACACACGCAGGCGAGAACCGAGAGACGGAAATCGACAGAGACGAAGGGCGGCGGACTGGGAAACAGCCGCGTTACACCTGCAAAGAAACCGCAAACAACATGCTAGCTTGAGAAGACAAGTGGTGTGTGCGAAAACGATCCCGGGCACGCGCAAAAGTATTGGAAATGCGCGATACGCCAGCAATTGTCGTGAACGAAGGCGCCGGTAACGATGATGATGATGATGATGATGATGATGATGATGATGATGATGATGATGCTGATGATGATGATGATGATGATGATGATGATGATGCTGATGCTGATGATCATGTTGATGATGATGATGATGATGATGATGATGATGATGATGATGATGATGCTAATGGTGATGATGATGGTGATGATGATGGTGATGATGATGACGATGATAATAATGATGATGCTTATGATGCTGTTGATGACGATGATGCTGATGATGATGAGGAGGGTGGCAGAGATACTGAGATGGTGGCGGTGACAATGATGGTGCTGGTGATGAGTGTGAAGACGGCCACAATGATGATGATAAAGGTTTTGCTGGTGGCGGTGAGTACGGTGATGCCTAGTAGTGGTGATGGTGATGATGATAGTGATGATGGCGGTGGTGGTGGTCGCAGCGAGGACGACAATGACGAGAAGGGTGATGGCGAGACGGCGTTTTCCCAGAAGCTCCGAGATCCCACGTGCAGGTCAGCGTGAAAGCGGCGGCGCGGGACGTGCACCAGCTTACACGCGTGTCGCACTGTGAGAGCCTCTCGCGATCGTGCAGCGCAACACTGCCGCGAGTCGCCACCGCATCAGGCGCCCGCCCACCCACAGCGTGACGCGACGGGGCGGCACTGCACGGCACGGCGTGACGCGACGGCACGGCACGGCGTGACGCGACCCGAGGCACGGCACGGCACGACGTGACGCGGCGGGGCGGCACGGCACGGCACGACACAGAGACCGCATTCTGGCAACCAGGCACGGCGCAGCACAGCACGGCTCGGCACGCGCACGGCACCAGCATCGCCGCGGCCCGGCTCGGCAAGAGGGCACGGCGCCAAGATCGCACCCTGGACGCGAAGGACGGCACGGCGCGGCACGGTAGGGCGGCAGGGCACCGACACCGCACCCTGCAGACGAGGGGCACGGCACGGCACGACGGCGCGCCACGGCACGGCGCCGCAGGCGCCTCCTGCAGACCCGTCACGGCACGGCACGGCACGGCACATCGCGTATGCTGCAGACGAGGCACGGCGCGGCACGGCCCGGCAATCGCGCGGCAACTGCTCTGAATCCCGGAGGCTAGAACGGCCTCCCTTCGTGAGTGATGCAGGACCCATGACGCATTGGCTGTTCAACTGAGACACAAGCCGTCGAGGCCGGGAGGCGCGCGGCAAACGTGGCGGCCATCGGGCAGCATGGCACAGACCCATATGGCGAAGTGTCGGGGCCCGCCTCGCAAAACTGGAGGCACAAGGAGGAGGAAGCTCGTGAGTAGCTCAGCGCACGCTCCATTCAGTATTCTTCAACGTTGGGCAAACTTCTGCTGAAATGCTGGAGCGTACTATCTTCATCCTCCTCTTCATCCTCATCCTCATCCTCATCCTCATCCTCATCATCATCATTATCATCATCATCATCATCATCATCATCATCATCATCATCATCATCATCATCATCATCAGCGTCATCAGCATCATCAGCCTTCATCCTGCCCCATCCTCGCCCGCGTGCAAAAGCCCAAGGCTTCACAAGAACCGTTGGCACAGCACCGACCGCAGGAAAAATCTCGGGGAACATCTCAAGGAGGGAAAATCTCAAGGAGGGAAAAGGACGAAGCGAGGAGACGGCTTCTGGGGCGGCGGCGGACATGTTGCGACACTGAGCGCGGCGCTGGCACTGCGGCGGAACTTGCTACCGACAGTTGGACATGACTACAGAGTGGCAGCAGGAACCAGAGAAGGATACGAAAGTCCCACCAGCCCTTTGGGCTAAGGTGGTCTAACGATGTCTGTTGCTCCTCGACCAAAAACCTATTTCTTTACGGGAGGTGTACCCTCCCCCCCTTCCTCCATGATGTTTTCCCCCACATGCAATGTGGGGGTATTGTTTTCTTTGAATACACCCCGCGAGACACCTCCTCCTCCTCCTCCTCCTCCTCCTCCTCCTCCTCCTCCTTCTCTTCCAACTTCCCCTGCTCCTCCTTCTCGTCGTCCTCCTCTCCTTTTAAACCTCGCTCACGTACTCACATTCCCACGCATCATCATCGTCACCATCATCATCATCATCATCATCATCATCATCATCAGCATCATCATCATCAGCAGCATCATTATGATCCTTATCATCACCATCATCATCAGCAGCAGCAGCATCATCAGCAGCATCCTCAGCATCCTCAGCATCATCAGCAGCATCATCGTTATCAGCATCCTCATCATCAGCATCATCGTCATCATCATCAACAGCAGCAGCATCATCACCACCGTCGCCATCATCAGACTCATACGCATACCCATAGTCATACTCGTATTTATAGTCAAGCTCCCACTCATATTCATACACGATCATTCACTCATTCAATCGCTCACTCGCTCACTCACTCCCTCATCCACATTCACTCATCACCCACCCACTCAACATCACGTCAGGCCTCCTCAGGCCTGAATATGGATGTAATATCCAGCGGGAGACTCGTTTGTGAGTGAATTGTGAGAAAGTCTAAGGCGGGAGCCTCCTCCCTGTGGGATCCGCGCCTCATGTAAGTAATCCGATCGGGTCATGCTACAACCTGTAACTGTCGTTACTTTTGGGCTCCTCTGGCCTGAATATGGAGGAAGTATCCAGCGGGAGCCTCGTCTGTGAGTGAATTACACGGAAGTCTCAGGCGGGAGCCCTCTCCCTATGGGGCCGGCAGCTCATGTTAATAGTCAAAGCAGGTTATCCTAAAACCTGTAACTGTCTTCACTTGTGAGCCCCTCAGGCCAGAATACGGAGGAAGTATCCAGCGGGAGCCTCTCCTGTGAGTGAGTTGCGAGGAATTCTCGGGCGGGAGTCCACTCCCTATGGGGCCCGCATCTCATGTTAGTATCAATCCGAGCGGGTTATCTGAAAACCTGTAACTGTCGCCAATTTTGGGCCCCTCAGGCTTGAATACGGAGGACATCTCTGAACGAATCGCGAGGAAGTCTCGAGCGGGAGACCCTTCCCTCTGGGGTCCCACCTCCCTGTGCGAATCCGACTGGGTCATCGGAAAACCTGTTCCTGTCGTCACCGTTGGTCTCCTCGAGCAAGGAGCATCGGAAAACCTGTCCTGGCGTGAGTATGCAAGGAGCCTCGAGCGGGAGCCTCGTCTGTCAGTGGCTGGCGCGGGAGCCCCCTCCCTATGGGTCCCCACCTCCATGTTCGAATCCGAGTGGGTCGTCGAAAAACCGTTAACTGTCGTCACTGTTGGGCTCCTCAGGCCTGAATATGGAGGAAGTCCCGAGTGGGAGCCTCGTCCGTGAGTGAATCGCGAGGAAATCTCGAGCGGACGCTCGGGGCGCACAGGCTACACAGGTCCCACAGGTCCCGCAGGCCGAACAAGACCCACAGGCCCCACAGTTCCCACAAGTGGCACAGGTCCCACAGGGCCCTACGGTCCTAAAGGCACCACAGATCGCACATGTCCCACAGGTCTCAGTCTCACAAGTCTCACAGGTCCCACTGGTCCCACAGATCCCACAGGCCCTAGACCCCACAAGTCCTACAGGCCCCGCAGGTCCCACAAGTCCCACACGTCATACAGGGCTCATAAGTCCTACAGGACCGACAGGCCCAAAAAAAACCACAGGTCGCGCAGGTCCCATGGGCCGGAAAGGCCTCACAGATCCTACAGGCCCCAGAGGTCCCACAAGTTCCAGGGGCCCCACTGAAGGAAAAATCATGCCTTTGAACACCAGGGACAAGGAAGGAGAAGGAGGAGAGACAATCGGACGGCAGGGCAAGAGAAGGAGGAGGATGAGAAAGAGGAGGAGGCGGAGGAGGAGGAGGGAGAGGGGCAAGAGGAGGAGGAGGAGGAGGAGGAGGAGGAGCAGCGGGAGCAAGAGGGGCAGCAGCAACAGCAGTAGCAGGAGCAGCACGATGAGAAGCAGCGCCGGCGGCGGCGGAAAGCTGAGGACGGCGCGGTCTGCTCGAGAAGTGGCGTGGCGGCCACGTCGTCCTCTCCAGGGGGGGTCCGTGTGATCATGCTCCTCCTCCTCCCCCACCTCCTCCTCCTCCTCATCATCATCACCCTCCTCATCCTCCTCCTCCTCCTCCTCCGCCTCCTCCCCCTCCTCCTCCACCTCCTCCTCCTCCTCCTCCTCCTGATCATCGTCAATGTGGTCAGTAACATCATCATCATCATCATCATCATCATCATCATCATCAGCAGCAGCAGCAGCATCATCATCATCAACATCATCATCAGCATCATCAACAACAACCACATCATCATCAGCATCATCGTCATCATCGTCGTCATCGCCACCGTCATCATCCTCATTATCATCATAATCATCACCATCACCATCATCACCATCATCATATTAATCATCATCATTATCATCAGCATAATCATCATAATCATCATCATCATCATCATCATCATCATCATCATCATCATCATCATCATCATCATCATCATCGTCATCATCATCATCATTTTCATTATCATCATCATCATCATCATCATCATCATCATCATCATCATCATCATCATCATCATCATCATCATTGTCAGCATCATCATCAGCATCAGCATCATAATCAGCATCGTCGTTATCATCAGCAGCAGCAGCAGTATCAGCATCACATTCAGCATCATCATCAGCAGCGCCAGCATCAGCAGCGCCAGCATCATCAGTATCAGTCATCATCAGCAGCGCCAGCATCAGCATCATCATCACAAACATCATCAGCATCACATTCGTCATCATCGTCATCATCGTCATCATCGTCATCGTCATCAATGTCATTAGCATTCTCACCATCCGCATCAGCATAATCATCATCAGCAACACCATAATCATCAGCATCAGTGTCAGCATCATAATTGTCACCAGCAGCAGCATCAGCATCAGCATCAGCGTCAGCGTCGGGATCATCATCAACAACATCATCATCAGCATCAGCATGAGCATCATCGTCATCATCAGCATCATCCACATCACCATTACCATCACCACCATCATCATAATCATCATTACCACCAACATGATCAAAATCATCATGATCGCTACCATCGTCAGCATCAGCATCAGCATCGTCAGCATCATCACCAGCGTCCGCATCATCATCATCATCATCATCATCATCACCATCATCATCATCATCAGCATAATCATCATCATCATCATCATCATCATCATCATCATCATCATCATCATCATCATCATCATCATCATCATCATCATCATCCGCATCATCATCGTCGTCATCATAATTTATTTTTTTGCTGCCCCCTGGTGAATGACACCTCTGGTCAGCACGCGACAGATCGCAGAGGGCGCCACTCCCGAACGACGTTTTATTGAGAAAGCTGGATGGTGCTCTAGCATGGCTGCCGGCCGCCAGGCGGATCGAAAGATCACGTGGCAATGAAACAAGAGCCAGGGGAGGAGGAGGAGGAGCGAGCACAAGAGGCGGGCAATGGAAAAAGACCCAGGCGATGTGTGGGCACCCCCAGCGGTCCAAGCGACCAGCGTAATGCAAAAGCCGCACACACACAAAAACAGCGGGCAGGAGTCTACCACATTGTAGGTTAATGGGCCGTGCAGCTACGCAAATGATAGGAGTATGTTTATCATCATGTTCGTCATCATCATGCAGCCGTGAATTATCATCATCAGCAAATGATCGGAGTATGCAGCCGTGCATCATCATCATGTTCATCAGCATCATCATCAACATCATCATCATAAGCATCATCATCAGCATCAGCATCGGTATCAGCATCAGCAGCAGCAGCATCATCATAAGAATCCGCCGACCCCTTGGGGATCATCGGCGTGTGAGATGCTCCCCCCTCCCCAAACCCCTCCCCCGGGAGCCCGGTCCGGTCGATTTGGAGGGGGGGGCCCGACGAGCGACTCACGGGCTCTTCTGGGCCCAAGAGGGCCTAAAGATTGGCCAAGAAGGCCCCAAGAGGCCTCCAAGACGGCCCACGAGGGCCCCGAGACGCCAAACCAGCGCTCCAAGACGCCCAAGATGACCCCAAGACGGGCCAAGAGGCCTCGAAGACGGCCCAAGAGGTCCCAAACAAGCCTCCCAAGAGGGCCCCGAGAGGCTGAAATTGTTGATTTTCCATTGTGTTTTTCTGTGTCTTTGGTCTTTTCGCCTTTTCGGCTTCCCGACGCTCCAAGACGGCCCAAGAGGCCCCGAAGACAGCCCCAAGACGGCCCAAGAGGCCTACAAGACGGCCCCAAAACGGACCAAGATGGCCCCAAGACGGCCCAAGAGGTCCCCAAGACGGCCCAAGAGGGCCCCAAGACGGCACCAAGAGGGGCCCAAGAGGGCCACCAAAAATTCAAAACATCTAGCTTTCCGCCCCCAGGACCACCAGGGGGCCCCAAGAGTGCCCCAAGAGGCCGCCAGAGGCCCCCAAGAGGCCCCCAAGACGCCCCAAGGAACCCCCAAGAAGCCCCTCAGAGGCTCCGAAACGGCCCCCAAGTGGTTTCAAAACCGTATTCGACAGGCCTCCGAGAGGCGTGCCGCGAGATCCCAATACACATCGAAGAAGCCTCTAACCCATAACCCATGACCAAGAGCATTCCTTCCGTGTCCCTCTCCTTCTCCTCACCCTTCTTTTCCATCCCGGTGCATAAGTGGCTTCAAAACAGCCTTCCAGAGGCCCTGGAGAGGCGTGCCGCGAGACCCCCATACACATACAACAAGCCTCTACTCAGGGTCTCCCTTGTCCTCCTCCTTCTCTTGCTCCACTTCCTCCTCGTTCCTCTCCTCTTCTTCCTGCCCCGCTTCACCTTATCCTCTTCGATGCTTCTTCTCCCCATTTCCCGCCTCACCACCCTACCCGCCGACCGGAGCCAGATCCCCGCTAGCAACCCATACTGCGCCACTCAATGGAACAAAGCGCACGGAACACTAACACATGACACTTTGAGACCCCCCTCACCCCACCCCTACCCGGAAACGCACACGTACACCACAAAGCCTGCATCTGCAGCCGGACTGCCCAGGGCCCGCCCCACAAAAAAAACAACGCACCCAAACAAAGCACCCCAAGGGGTCGGCGGTGTGGCGTAAGCCAGAGAATCACCATCATCAGCAGCAGCAGCATCATCACCAACAGCATCATCATCATCATCATCATCATCATCATCATCATCATCATCATCATCATCATCTTCAACCTCATCATCAGCATCATCAGCAGCATTAGCAGCAGCATCAGAAGCAGCATCATCAGCATCAACATCATCATCACCTTCTTCATCGTCTGGTTGCCCCACCTACTACTACTACTACTACTACTACTACTACGACGACGACTACTACTACTGTCACTACTACTACTACTACTACTACTACTACTACTACCACCACTACTACTACTACTACTACTACTACTACTACTACTACTACTACTGCGACTACTACTACTCCTACTACTACTACTACTACTACTACTACTACTACTACTACTTCTACTACTAGTACTACTACTACTACTGCGACTACTACTACTCCTACTACTACTACTACTACTACTACTACTACTACTACTACTACCCCTGATCATCGTCATGCTCATCCTGCTCATTCTGCTCATCTTCCTCCTCAGTATAACGATCACCAACCACAACCACAGCCATCATCATCATAATCAGAATCATCAGCAGCACCATCAGAATCATCATCGTCGTCGCCAGCATCATCAGCATCATCATCAGCATCACCAGCAGCATCATAATCAGCATCAGCATCAGCATCAGCATCATCCTTCTCCTCCTACTCCTCCTCCTCCTCATCATCACCGTCGTCGTCGTAACCAGCATCATCATCCTCAGCATCATCATAATCAGCAGCATCATCATTACCAGCAGCAGCATCATCAGCATCATCATCATGCTCCCCCTTCTTATTATTCTCCTCATCTTCCTCCTCCTCGTCATCCTCTTCCTCCGCCTGCTCTTTCTTATGTTTCGCGTGCGTGCCATTCGCGCGGTGTTAGATCGCGCGCCTGCTCTTTCTTATTTTTCGCGCCGTTGTTTGTTGAGGTGAACATCACCTCAACATGTTGTTAGATCGCGCGAGTGTCAAGAGCCAAGTGAAAAGAGATCGCGATGCAAATCCGCATTCCTTACCAAGAGAGGTGAAGGCCGAAGCCACACATGAGGCTTCAACCTGATGCCAGAAGTAAGAAGGCACTGGCCACGAGGGGGGACGAGGAAAGAGGAGGAGGAGAAAGAGGGGGAGAAGCGAGGCGAGGGGGACTGACATTGGCGCAGTGTGTTCATCCCCACATGGTCCAAACGACCATTCTTTTGACTAGGCATCACACCACGACGGTCGAAATAACAGCGCACGGCACACATAAGCAAGTTGAAGCCCACACGGCCATGCGGCTGAAAGAGAAACTGCTCAGACTCAGATCGCATGCGAGACGGAAGCAAAATAGGATGGGGAAGACCAAAACGAGACGAAACCTCGCGGCAAGAAGGGGCAGTACAAGCATGCCAGCAGGGCGGTATATGCTGGAAGGGGCGCAAGCACTCACCAGTATGTGCTGCTGTTGTCGGATGAGGCACGGCAGTGTCCCGCAGCATCGGGGGACCGAGACCCAAGACGGTCACAAAGCCTAAGATGGCCTGATGACGGCCTAAGAGGCCCCGAAGACGGCCCAAGAGCGGCCCGTGGGGTCAGCCACCCGCGGCTGCGAGCTGCGAGGTGAACCCGCACACGCGCTGCCCGCGCACAAAATAATTAGCGGAGAGGCAGAGGACAGGTGAGGACGGCGGGGGGGGCAGGCGAGGCGCCCAATGCGGGCCGCGAGCCGAACTTGCCAGCTGGTCCGTCCCGTGGCGGCAGAAGGTCCGAAGCAGCCCTTTAGAGTACCTAAGATCACTGCATAGGGTAACGGAGGAAGTGACGAAAACTATACGAAAAAACCATACGATAGATCATACGGGAAACCATACGGCAAAGCACCCTGAGTTTCGA